ATTTTACAGGCAGATTAAGCACTTCACTCAAAAACTAAAAGAACTTGAAGAGTAGATCTATATATAGAGCCATGTTAAATCATATTAAATTTATTTTTTAGAAAATATGACCAACTACAGCCAGAAACTGCAGAACTAGACACGTAAAAAAACTGAAGCTATGTATTTCATGCACTTAATATTACACAGAAAAGAGAGTTCATCTCGTGATGCTCGTAAAATGTATGATGATGTTACTCCTGGAGACACTACACATCAAGATGTCATACTACTGTATCAAAATTATTTTAAGAATGCATTTCATAATTTACCTAAAGATCTAAAGACAGAATCAAAAGAAGAAAAATACGAACTCTGGAGAAAGGCAGTAGATATTTTATGGTGCATTAATTATACCATATGATTATTTTATATTTAATTATACAGGCAAGCTTTGAACAAAATCAAATTACTATCATTGAGATGATGACATCAGCAATAGAAGAAAACTCATTATTATATCCTCCTCTAGCTGCTTGCAAGGAAACAGATGAAAAAAAGAGGACTTAGAGCAAATTATTATAGAGCATTCCATGTCTTTCTTAAAGAATTGCTGGAATGAGAAAAAAATGAAGAACAAGTAAATACCATGTTTACCATTAGTTTTCCAATGATGCCAATTAGGATAAAAGAAAGGATTTAGGTATGAGGAGAGGTATAAGGTAGCATGTATTAGTGTAATACTTGTAAATTTATTTTTAACCATAACACTTTTGTATGCAGTTACTGGGAGAATGTCATTCTAAAGGATGGGATGAAAGAACTGCAAATCATTACATTGATTTTCTCATAGATATACTTGTACAGCTTGACCCAGAAGATTATCATAGCTTCATTCAGAAAGGGAAAAAGCATACCAAACCAGAATCTGAAGTATCTATTGACAGAAGCAATTCGGTTGATGCTAGCACTGAGAACTAGAAGTATATCATGTAAACTTGATTCATAATTATTTTTATACTGATGTAATGATAATAGCTGAAGAAAGAAAGATTAAGAGTAGATGTGCTGCTTGTGAAAGGTTTCACAAATAATCCAGGGTATATTTTTTATAATATGTATAATGTGAATGATTTATATGCATAACAATTTTCTAGTGATACTCCTACTCTTCAAATGGACTTGTATTGGCACCATCGTCACTCCTGCTGTGCTAGATGTAACAAGACAATTGATGAAAATTATCGATATTTAATGAACTATGATATGGTTTACTGCAGTAGGCTCTATAGTTGCTTGTGCAGTAGGTGTCAACATCCTTTAGATGATAAAGTTTGCCTCAATAGTATTGCTAGATATTTCATATGCTTACATTAGGCTCTTGATACTGGACATGGTTTATATCATGGGCTTTGTTTCACCTGTGTTCACTGTTGCCGTGTTACAGAAAGTATGGTAGTTGTTGGAGATTCTCTTGTGTGTGGAAACTGCATACAACACTACAATTAATATAAATAAACTGAACACTGAACAATAATTAGACTATTAGACTAGAAGTGTTTTATTTTACTAAAAATTGATTTCTGGCTAAACCTAAAATGCGTGGACGAGTAGATCCAGTAATAACAATTCCAAGAATCGTGAATAATAATAACAATTCCAAGAAATCATGAATAATTACTAATTTTTTTTTATTTTAAGTTCTAACTGAGCGACACTGTCAAGCACCCTGAGATAGAGAGCTAGTATGGATGGTATTACAGTTCCCTTTGAAAAGCTCAAGATTAAGGAAAGGTATAGACTATAAGCTTGCTGAATTTCTTATGAAATATATAAACTATATCATAAGAGAACTTCAAGAAAAGATTTTGAAGGAACAGAGGCTAAGGTGAATTATAATTATTGTTTTGCTTGTAAGCGTTTATCCACTAAAGTTTAGACAGAAAATAAGTGAGAAAGAATATCAGATCAATCAACTAAATAGGTATAATGAGTATAGCTAATTATATAGCTTCATTTACAACAGACAAATTGAAATTTATACAAAGAAATCAACTGACATGAAAGAAAGGTTTCATGACACGATCATCCATGCATTGATTATGTAACATATAGGATACAAAAAGCTGGAGAAATTCCACAAAGTATTTTAGAGAGGCGTAAAGTAATGAAAGCAGAGTCTATTAAGGTAACCAGACTATAATTTGAAGATTTGTATAGATCTATAATATAATAGTGGCTTTATGATCGGTGCATCTCAATAATAGAGGAGAATCTTAAGGCTCAACTGAAAAATGTTTGTCAATGTTCGACTTCTGTTGATTCCGGTGAAATGGTTGCTTTCAAAGTGTACGGTTTGCTATTAAGTGCATGCCAGCAAGAAACTATTGTTGAAAAGGTTCTTGTAGAATACAATTAGCTTAACATTGTAGCCTGTGATTATTATAGGTAACTAAATCTGTTGAAGATGAAAATATATTGGGTAAAAATGAAAGTAGCAAAGAAGTAGCAAAGGTTTACGTTAAACAAGCAGTTAATGTTACATACTCCATGCTGACACTTTTACCTCCACTGATAGTCACAGTCCATCCTAGAGAATACTCAGAAGTATTGCATGATACAAATCGATTGACTTGGGATGAATCCACAGAAAGGATTGATGAGCTAATATATTACCGCCCTATTCTAATGTATGGTAATCACTTGAATGTTGCAGTGAAAGGTTTAGTGGGAAATAGTAAAAGAGAGCTTTTGCAAAGTAAATCATGTATAAAATTAATTTTTACAATAATTAAGTATAGAACAACAAAGTACCCAAGAATTAATTAGCTATGAAACAAAAGCCATTGATGCTAGAGAAAATTTTACTGGCAATAATTGTGCAGTTTGTCACAATTTGAAAGTATTATTTCATAGATTTACATTTTTAATTATTTTATTTTAACAGCAGTATTATGATTTTATTGATTGTAAGGATGCCTATGGTCAACATTATAAAGTGCACCAAGAGTGCTACATGTGTATAGTTTGCAGTGCTGTTTATGATGTTAAATTATACTTAGTAGGAAGTCAACTGTTTTGTAAAAGACATCTTAAAATATGTAAAGTAAGCTAACATTGATATTAATGATTTATGGTAATATTTCATTTTGTGTAGGAGTGTCAAGCATACATGTATGTACAATCAGAAAATTCAAGTTATTATTGTGACAACCATGGCATCTGGAAACAAACAGAACAAAGTACTATGGTATAATGTTATGACTATAAAGCTAGACTATCATATACAAAATAGTGTAGATTGTTTAGTTGATTTTGTAAAAAATAATGAAAAAGAAAGATTATCTAGTCCAAAAACTTAATTAATTAATTACATACTTTTATTCATTGATGTTGTCTTAGGATTAGCACATCTAAATTAGATGAGAGACATGTTACATTTTGATACATTTCTATAGATGTATAAATCATACAGTGATAATCAGTACATAGTATTAGGATATCAATGGTTCTTTCAATGCCAATTTTAATAGAATAGGTTTGAAAACATCTTCAATTTTATGCTTAGGAAATGCTTGGCATATTGTGCCACATGTGACATATTTTGACAGCTGTCAATAGAATAATACCTAATACCAGTAGCACACAGGTTGGTTTAGTATATTTTTAATTCCTGGAAATTTTTACTTTGTATTTGCTATGAATCTAATCTTCTCTCTATCAAATGCCAAGTTCACAAAGCAATATTAAAATAACAAGAGAAAATTTACTGAGCAGAAATAGATTGTCCTTAAATACCAGCATACCTGCAGCCACCAACACCCATCAAACATCTGTTGCTGCCTTAATAAGTGCCTTCTTCATAGTCAATGCTTTCATGTCCTTCAATTTTTTTATTTGAAAGTATATAGATCTATAATATTTCAACAAGGTTGTTTTTGTTAAAACAAAAAAATAACTAGAGATCTAATCTAAAAGCAATGGATAATCGATAATTTAAACTAAACTATAGCAGTCTAAGTTTGTTGAGCAGAAAGAAAGTCACAAACAGTTTTAACTTCTTCTCCAGTAACTCGATACTTTGCTTTAGCTTGAATCTCTGTACCACTAAAATCCATTGTGACATCAACTAGACGCTTTTCTCTAGGCAGATTATCAGGATTAGGAATATCAATAACTATTTGACCAATTTTGGTAACGGTGCTTTTGCCATTTTTATCTTTGATGTATTGGATTCCAAGATCAGGAGTGGAGTATATCTGCAATTTCATAGTGGTGTTCCTTTGTCGTGATGGCCTTGATGAAGCAGTAATAACCTCATCAGATTTTGCTAGTTCACCTTTTTCTAAAAACACACTAAATATGCTATCACATTTATATTTTTCTTGCTCTTCATTATAAAACTTGTAATACTCATCATGCTTGTCATCTTCAAATGATTGAGTTGCTCCTATCCCATACGTAGCATCAGATCGTCTTGCTTTAATCTTCTCTGGATTCTTACGCCAAATAGCAGCTCCTGTAGCAACAGCTAATTGAGGAGTAGGAGGCACTATTACATTGCAAGAACGACCCTGGCCATGAAAACTTTTATCTATAGCAGCTTTGACCTTCTTATGTACATACTTGCAGCCTCCAAACCCACCAACCAAATAGAAGGTACTAAGATCATTATCATTTGATTTGATAGCTTGTAAAGTGCACTCTATTATACCATTAAGTGCTGGGCCAAACAACTCGGACTCCACTACTTCCTTTGAGATGTATAGCATGTCATCTTCATAATCGATACCACTCCTTTTCTTGATACCAGCCTGAAGGTTTTTATCATGAAACCTAACAAAACGACTTGGTAATGAAATACGAATTTCTTCTGTCTGTTCCTTTCCAAAGAGCAACTTCTCACTTTCAAATTCAGTGTAAAAAATTTTAATGATATCGGCCATATTTTGAGATCGGTCTCCAGAAGCCAAAAACTTTTCAAATCCAGGATCATTAGCTATACCTTCAAGAATTTTAGAGAAAGCTTCATTAATCTGCGTACCACCCCATGCATTGCCAGTTGGTATATTCTCAACTACAATACTACCATCAGCTTCAATGTGAGCTGTGATATCTATTGTACCACCTCCAGCATCTATAACCATGTAATCTGATGGACGTGGGATAATTGATGTGGCTGGATCACTTTCAATCTGGTCTCCTACTGTTTCCTGGCTGTAAAGAGCAGCTGATTCAGGCTCCAGTGCTAATGATAGCTTGTCAGGATTCACTTCATTTGGAAGAGGCAAAGAGCGATAAGACACTGGAGTGAACTTATTGATGCTACCATATTCTGTCAGCAAACCAGCCTAGATATATATTGAATTATTGATTGGTGTCATGTATTCAAATGACAATATCACTTACCAGATAAGCAGCTTCTCTCATCATTCTTTTTCCTCGTGCATCCCATATAGCAGGCACAGTAATGACCCAATCAAAATCAGTTGTCTTCAATGGTTTGACGGTACATGAGAAATGATTAATCAGTAGATCCTTCAGGTACTTCAGTATAAATGCAATGACTTCAACCAGATAGAATTTATCACCAGAAAATGACTCAACTACTGTATCTCTATCAACTGCCTACTTTCAGTCAATCATAAAGTATTGGATACTTTGCTTACCTTTTCTCTTCTCATTAACATCTTGATTCTCTCAAAGTAGACATGTGTGTGATGTTCACTTGATCTCATTGAAGTAAATTTTTTTCGAGCTATGCTTCCAAAAGCTACTACCTTCATTTTGCCATCATCTTCTTTCTTCAAAAGGACAGCATTAGGAACACGAGTAGACTGGTCTTCCCGGTCTAGCGTAAGTGTGGTAACTTTTTCATCTCCTTTTGTAATGAAGGCAATTGAAACTGATGTAGTACCAAAATCAATAGCAGCGATATTTCCATCAGTAACACGATAGCCAGCATCTTCACGAGGAATCTTTTTAGCTTTTATGAATGGAGGCTTATAATCTGGTTTTCGAAGTCTAACTTGAATAATTTGAATGCTTCGAAAACCAATTGCAAAGTATCCTGCTGATGCTGCCATTGCCATGGTGCTACAAGTGATAGATTTTATATAACTTTCTGTTCTTTATAGGAATATGACTTTGTACTTTTGTGGTAGAGCACATTTTTTCTAAGAATCCTTTTATGACCTTTTGTAAACAATTCCAAGAACTGTTATGAATATCATAATAGATAGTACAAAAGGTGTTGCTAGTTCCTGGAATAATATTAACAACCTGAATCAACAATTTTTGGAACTGTGTACATGTAGATATAGTCTTGAACTAGAATAACCTTTAAGGAAGTAAAATATGGCAGGAGAGAATAGCTATCTTGGAGAAGCTGAGGAGTATATGAAAGCTCTTTTTCACAAAGCTAATGAAAAGGAGAAGTAAGTAGATCTATTTGTACTGAGCTTGAAATAATTTATACTTTAGTTTGTGTAAAAGTCATGAAACACACCTCTCTGAGCAAAAAAAGTATTTATGCCTTCTATTCTATGGAGACTATTTATAAATTTTTACAGGGAGATTAAGCAACTCACTCAGAAGCTAAAAGAACTTGAAGAGTATATATACCATATTATAGAGCTATGTCAGATAAATGATAAAATACATTTTTTTAGAAAATATGACCAACTACAGCCAGAAACTGCAGAGTTAGACAAGTAAAAAAACTGAAGCTATGTATTTCATGCACTTAATATTACACAGAAAAGAGAGTTCATCTCGTGATGCTCGTAAAATGTATGGTGATGTTACTCCTGGAGACACTACACATCAAGATGTCATACTACTGTATCAAAATTATTTTAAGAATGCATTTCGTAATTTACCTAAAGATCTAAAGACAGGACCAAACAAAGACAAATATGAACTCTGGAGAAAGGCAGCAGACATTCTTCTGGTGTATTTATTATATTAACAAGTATAATTAGTTTATAGTTAATTATGTAGGCAAGCTTTGAAAAAAATAAAGTTGCTATTATCAACGAGATGATGACATCAGCAATAGAAGAAAACTCATTATTGTCTCCTCCAGCTGACAAGGAAACAGATGAAAAAAGAGCACTTAGGGCAAATTATTATAGAGCATTCCATGTCTTTCTTAAAGAATTGTTACAGCAAGAAGAAACTGAAGAGCAAGTAGGTACCATGATTGTCATTAAATTAGTTTTTCTTGAAGGATAGGAAAAAGGATTTGGGCATGAGGAGAGGAATAAGGCAGCAGGTATAATACATGGAAATTCACTTTTAACCACAACATTGTTCTATCTATATGCAGTTACTGAGAGAATGTGATTCCAAAGGATGGGCTGAAAGAACTGCAAACTATTACATTGATTACCTCATGGATATACTTGTACAGCTTGACCCAGAAGATTATCACAGCTTCATTCAGAAAGGAAAAAAGCACAAACCAGAATCTGCAGTTTCCATTAACAGAAGCAATTCAATTGATGCTAGCAGAGCCAGAGGTATAAATGATGGAAAATGTGTTATTCTTCTTACACTGATGTAATGATATAGCTGAAGAAAAAAAGATTAAAAGCACATGTGCTGCTTGCAAGAGAGGTTTTACAAATAATCCAGGGTATGTCATATGAACAATTTATGTGCATATAAAATAATTTTTAGTGATACTCCTACTTTTCAAATGGACTTATATTGGCATCATCGTCACTCCTGCTGTGCTAGATGTAACAAGACAATTGATGAAAATTATCAATATTTGACGAACTATGATATGGTTTACTGCAGTAGTTGCTTGTGCAGTAGGTGTCAACATCCTTTAGATGATAAGGTTTGCCTCAATAGTATTGTTAGATATTTCATATGCTTATGTTAGGCTCTTGATACTGGACATGGTTTATATCATGAGCATTGTTTAGCCTGTGTTCACTGTCGCCGTGTTACAGAAAGTATGGTAGTTGTTGGAGGTTCTCTTGTGTGTGGAAACTGCATACAACACTACAATTAATATAAATAAACTGAACACTGAACAATAATTAGACTATTAGACTAGAAGTGTTTTAGTTTACTAAAAATTGATTTCTGGCTAAACCTAAAATGCGTGGACGAGTAGATCCAGTAATAACAATTCCAAGAATCATGAATAATTATTATTAATAATAACAATTCCAAGAATCATGAATAATAATTACAAATAATAACAATTCCAAGAATCATGAATAATAATTATTAATAATAACAATTCCAAGAAATCATGAATAGATCTAATTACTAATTTTTATTTTAAGTTCTAACTGAGCGACACTGTCCAGCACCCTGAGATAGAGAGCTAGTATGGATGGTATTACAGTTCCCTTTGAAAAGCTCAAGATTAAGGAAAGGTATAGACTATAAGCTTGCTGAATTTCTTATGAAATATATAAACTATATCATAAGAGAGCTTCAAGAAAAAATTTTGAAGGAACAGAGGCTAAGGTGAATTATAATTATTATTTTGTTTGTAAGTGTTTATCCACTAAAGTTTAGACAGAAAATAAGTGAGAAAGAATATCAGATCAATCAACTAAATAGGTATAATGAGTATAGCTAATTATATAGCTTCATTTACAACAGACAAATTGAAATTTATACAAAAAAATCAACTGACATGAAAGAAAGGTTTCATAACAAGATCATCCATGCATTGATTATGTAACATATAGGATACAAAAAGCTGGAGAAATTCCACAAAGTATTTTAGAGAGGCGTAAAGTAATGAAAGCAGAGCCTAT